CATATTTGCCAAACATTAAATGTAAACAACATTATATATGGACCCTGGATAAACAAAAGGATAATGCAACTTTATGTGCCAAGTTCCAACATGTTTCAAAATATTGAACTTTTTTATTTAGTGGAAGAATTAAAATTTAAAGATTACATTTTTTGTAAATTTACTTAAAATGCCCAAATAGGGGGCTATGGAAATACTTTAGAACTTAAAATAGAAAAATATTAACAATAAATGTAATTAATCTCTATTTAAAGTCGACGAAGTGGAAGAGATAATTGTTTAGCTGGTATCTTACTATTCAGGATCTGGTTCTTAGTCGTCCTAATATGGAATGATTAATAAGAAAGATGTGAGTTACATTAGCTCAGTAAGAATATCAATGTTTTATCACTAACACAGAAAATTAAAGAGTTATAGAAAATATAAAACGACTAATGGCGCATACTTTTAACAAAACCCAAATACTAATGCATTCATTGCTCATTTCACTGAAAACATTAGTATTTTCTCCCCTAACTTGTAATCTTCTCAAATGTCATACATTAAGATGAAAATCAGAATAACAATCTAATAACATACATTTCAACAGAGATATAACATTTAACTCTTCACTACTTTTCCAAAGTCGGATTCCTTACAATATCTATCGATACTCTATCAATTTACCTTCTTCTATCGGTGTCTATAAGGATCCCCGTTACACGTGGATATATTAACTTTCATTGTAATTAAATCAGTCATCTTCATATCCCGTTCGGTAATAAGCACCACAACCAAAAGAAATAATCTCAATACCTCATCCGGTATGAATAAAACTTGTAAACTTCCAACCCCATCTGGTATGAGACTTCCCAATCTCATACGACTAAAAATAATGTAATACCCGAGCCCAGAATTTGGCACGAGATCAATTTTGGCAATTTAAAAATAAAGAAAAATTTATTTATAAATTAATTTTATTTTATTTTATTGAATTTATTGAAAAAAATAGGTTAGGGATGTAATTGAAAATAATTTTGAAAAAAAAGAATAAAAATTTAGGTTCGATGAGTGTTTTTAAAAGAAATATTAAAAATAGGGGGTCAAAATATAAAAAAAAAAGTTCGACAATGTAGGACCGCCCAGTCAGAAATCCTGACAAATCGGAGCATGCTGCATGGTAAGGCACGCTGACGTCGGTGCTATGCAGGAGACCATGTGGGTGATCCACGTGCCTCGCGATCAGAAAAGCCTAGGATTGATCCCGCACACGTGGACGAACCGAATTTGTTTTCCCATTAAGCTCGATCGGATGATCGAGATCAAATCGTGATGGATGACCCAGATTTATTTTCTATTTAATCACAATGGACGATCCAAATCAACACATGATGGGTATAAATACTTCAAATCACACGGGAACTCGAACCTTAATTGCTAGCCCCCGCTGGAGAAGAAGAACCAGATGTTGGAGAAGGAGGCCAATCGCCGACTGCCGCCGCACCAGAGCTACTGTCAATTGCCAAAAAAAGTAAAACTTCCCCCTACCTGCTCTGAATTTGATTCCAGCACCCCTGTGACCAAATTGGAGCAAAATAGACGGCGGGTGAGCTAGAAACTGCGGGCAAAGCTTGATAAAGCCGCCGCACCCAAAACTCAAAAATCTCTCCGATGAGCCCCTTTCTGATTTTTATTTCACGTGATTTTTTATTATTGTGTTCACCTTCCTTTTCTATGCAAGTTAGCCAAAGAAAGAACCTCGACCGCGAAGGAGGATCGGTGGAGCTGCCGCACCCGGAGGTCCCCCCTGCTGATAGGTTTGGTTTTTTTT